GAAAGGAATCAAGATCCCCCTGGCTTTTGTCGCTCCCCCCTGGGACGCTGCAGTGCGCATGTGGTTGCGCCCCTTCGTTCGTTATAAAAATGAACTCATACCATCCCAACCGAACATGTATCGCCCCCACACCCCCTCGTCCTTCACAAGAAATAACATGAACGCGTGCTCGCTTATCAGACATCGACGATTAAAACAAATCCGTTACAACAATTGGGGCCCAGTCGACACGCGCGCGGCGTCGCGCGCGCATGCCAGAATCCTTTTGACAAGCGCAGGTTTCGTAGAGATCTCACGATCGTGTTTCCCAAAACAAATCTAATCACACAAAATGTTGTACCACCTGGTTTGCCAAACGAAATCTGCGCGCGTGCTCTTGCGAATGCTTACGACGACGGTACTTGCTTCAACGTGCTCATCACAGTCGACCCAGCGGAGCTCTCGCACGCATGTCGGAATCATTAGAACGCCCTTGCGCGCCAGCTGGGTGGTGGTGGTGGGAGGGGGAAGGGGGACGTGGTCCCTGTCAAATAACACAATGCAGGTCGCTCGTGCCCGTCGGCCGCCCGAGCATGTCGAAACCTTTGTTAGCCTTCGTCGCCGACACGGAGAAACTATCATCGCCATCAACGTGATCGGCGCCGTCGTTGGCCTTGCCGTCGTCATCGTCACCATCGCCACCAGCATCGCTACTATCTCATTGTGTCTGCCGATGCCGTCGTCGCCATGGTACCGCGCCCGCCCGACTCACCGATTCGCACTGAAGTGCCCGCGCGCCAGACTGGCCTGCGAGACGCGCTGGGAAGTCAGCGCCACCGCGGCCGCGTCGGCCGCGCCAGACTAGCTGGCCGATGTGCAGGCGAGCATGAGCGAGCTATGCGCCAAGCAACTATCGTCGCAGCGGTGCGCCAGCCAACGACAAACGGTTATCGTAATCGCCGCCACATGGGTGTCTCACACCAAGTTGTGAGGCTCGGCCCTGTCGAGGTGCAAGGCTCCTGCGCATCCTAGCAATATGAACAGCACCGATATGTCCGACGGCTTCATGGCATCGAGGAGGGTGCTGTGAGATGCTGAAGCACGAATCTGAAGATGTGTTGCAATATGCTTGAAACATGCATCATGGATGGGGACGCAATAAGCGGCCATCCCACTACAAAGATCACCACAATCTGGGCACCACTGGGCCCTTGATAGGTCCCCTGGCAAACTCCCTCGTGGAAGGCGCACGCGCCATGCCTGCCACATCGCGGTGATCACTGGGCAAAAAGAGTGGCTCTGCGAGAGAGTGACCTGTGGTGCGTGGTTTCACGGGGGCGCGGGTGTATCACCCAAGAATGCCCCAAAAGGACACCCTAGAATGCCGCCAAAATGGCTGAAATCACGGGTCCCCCTTTCGCTCTTGAGTGTAATATACAATATGAAATGTGCAAATCTGCAAAAAAATCAGGGAAAAACGTAAACACAGGATGTGTACTGTGTGGTGCACTCGCCTTTTCGGGCCCCAGGCATATAAGACGTCTGATACCCTACAAGACGGTCAAATATGCCCTCAATATAATCATCCGTCTATCCAGACAGCCAGCCAACCAACCAAGTTGTCAGCCTGGCAACTAATCAGCAAAGCAACTGATCAACCCTATCGGCCCAGCAATGCAAGCAATCAGCAGGATGGCCGGCTGCAGAAAACAAAGACTTTACGATTTTGTGAATCAGCGCGGGCATGGGTAGGAATGGGTCTTAGTTAAGTGCGCGTGCGTCTGCCTGTGAGCGCTTGCTTGGGTATGCAAAGGTCTGAACTGACCGAGTCTAAGTGTGAGTGGGCTTGACTGTGAACGGATCCGAGCATGGGCATGAGTGAAGGGATCCTGGGGGGTCCTGGGGCTTCCTGGGGGGTTCTGAAGCCTTTAGGGGGTCCCAGGGCCCCCCTGGGCTTCCTGGAGCCTGCAGCCTCCTGGAGTGTTCTCAAGCTTCCCGGGGCTTCCGGGAGCCTCCCGATGCAACTCTCCTGGTCGACCCTCTATGGCATGGTGTGATGTTTATGGGACTCTGAAAAGAATCTCGTCTACCCCCCAAGAGCGGCAACTGTATTTTTCTGCCCCGGAACAGAAACTCCGTTTGTAGCATGGCATTGTCACGAGTAATCATGCACGGCAAGCGCGATCCGCGGCCATGACCCCTGGCATGCTGAGGCGTGGTAGAACGCCAAGCGCTGCCTGGCAGGGTATCTGTAGTCTTCTGAAGCACTTCCTTTCATCACGTCCAATTGCGTGCATCGCCACCCCCACCTTCCCGAGGCTCCGTGGGCCGCCCAGACGCCTCCCTTGGCGCTCACCAAAGCTTCCCGAGGCTTCCACGGCAGCGGGGGAAGCCCGAAGCCGCCAACATGACCCAACAGTGTCTCAAGAGGCCCCCAACAGCTGCCAAAAAACGCTGCGTGCACCTGAGTAAGCAACCAACATGCTCCCAGACCCCCCCGAGGCGCTCTCGAGAAGGGAGGGCAACACACACACACACACAGAGGCACACATGCACACATATTTGTGGATGTGTATATATAGATATACATGTATATATATATATATATATATGTGTATATATATATACCTATACGACCACCCTTCGGGTGATAAGGAGGTGAGGGGGGGGGGAAGGGACCAACCTCGCACTCGATCGATCTTACTATCAAATTCGCTACTGATCTCACAATCGATCTCAATCGATCGATCTCACAATCGATCTGACTATCGATCTCGCAATCGATCTCACAATCGATCTCACATTCGGTCTCGCTGTTGATCTCACAATCGATCTCACAATCGATCTCACAATCGATCTCACATTCGATCTGACTGTCGATCGAACTATCGAACTCACTTTGGATCTCATTATCGATCGTACATTCGGTCTCACTACCTATCTCACTATCGATATCACAACCGATATCACAATCGATCTCACATTCGGTCTCACCATCGATCTGACAATCGAACTCACTATCGATCTCATTATCAATCTCAATCGATCGATCTCACAATCGATCTGACGATCGATCTCACACTCGATTTCACAATATATACCACTATCGATCTCACCTTCGGTCTCAGTGTCGATCTCACTATCGATCTCACAATCGATCGCACAATCGATCTCCCATTCGGTCTCACAATCGATCTCACTACCAATACCACTATCGATCTCACAATCGATCTCACAATCGATCTGACATTCGGTCTCACGCTCGATCTCACAATCGATATCACTATCGATCTCACTATCAATCTCACATTCGACCTCACTATCGATCTCAGTATCGATCATCAAAATAAAACACCAACATCATCATCACCATCATCATCAACAACATCAACATCAACATCATCATCGTCATCATCGTCATCCTCATCATCACCATCATCATCATCATCGGGTCACCGACGGGACACCGGCGGGACACCGGCGGGACACCTGCGGGACACCGCGGGGCCCCGGCCGCACGGAAGGGAGACATTTGGTCCGGCCGCGCCTCAGCCACACGGGACACCAGCGGGACACCGGCGGGACACCGCGGGCCCCCGGCCGCCCGGAAGGGAGACATTTGGTCCGGCCGCGCCTCAGCCACAGGAGACTTTCTCTCGCCCGCCCACGCAGCTTCGCCTCGCCCGCACGCACGGCACGCACGAACACGAAACCGAAATCGATTTCCCGGTAAGGGGGCCCTCCGTTCCACTTCGATCTCACCCCCTCACCTCCGATACCCCCTCACCTCCGATATTATATATATATGTATGTGTGTGTGTGAACATGGGTTTTTTATACGCACCCGTATGTATATACATGTGGACGCCCCCCGCCCCAGCACCCCCAAGCCACCCCAAAACAAACAAAGCGCCAACTGATCGTGTTATCCTCATCCTTCTCCGTCTCCTCCTCGTTATCCCGTCCTCCTCCTTCTCAGAAGCTGACAACGACTCTCTTGGGCTCGTTTGAGGAGGGGTCACGTCTCTGAACGTACGGGCCTGAAAACGCTGTGTGTTTCAGTTTGTTTAAACATTAAAAAAATCTGGCAGAGACAACGCAAGTTGGCTAGTCTCTCACAGGAATCCAAAAAAACAGAAAAACCAGAAAAAAAACAGAAAAACACAACGTGTTCAGTCCCTGTACCTTCTCCGTCTCCTCCTCGTTATCCCGTCCTCCTCCTTCTCAGAAACTGAAAACGACTCTCTTGGGCTCGTTTGAGGAGGGGTCACGTCTCTGAGCGTAGGGGCCCGAAAACGCAGTGTTTTTCTGGTTTTTCAGATTTCTGGCAGAGACAGCGCAAGTTGGCTAGTCTCTCCCAGGAATCAGAAAAACCAGAACAACCAGACAAACCTGAAAGACACAGCGTGTTCAGTCCCTCTACGCTAAGGGAGGAGGAATGTGACAGGATACAGGAGTGATGCGAATGAGCGGAGGCCGAACCGTGTCAGGGTGTGCCGAGATTGGCTTGGGGCCTTCGGTAGAAACTCATCTGCGTGGTCACGGAACGTTTGAGGGGTGCGCCGAAGAAATTCCCCACGCTTCCCCTTCCATTCCAAACAAGAGCATGGGTGAATGCAAGTGTTGCCTTTTGTGCAAAATCGTAGCGTCACGACAGATCAAAAACAATATGCGTATCCGCGCACATCTCGCTCGGGGACTCCCGGCACGTTTGCCCAGCGTCTCGCAGCGCGGACAGCTGTCCAGAGAGAACCTTCACGGGTCATATGTGGCAAGCAAAAGGGCTGCGCATCGGCGTGCGCATCAGCTGCAGCAGATGCCACTGCGCTCGGTTCAGTCAGAGGCCGAACCCTCGCCCACTGGCGGGAAGGACCACTCGTCGCCTGAAGCGGCGGCCGCGCCCTCGGCCATCGCCGCGGCGATATCCTGCGAGGGGGCGTCGGCGGCTGGCGGGCGCGCCGGGGACAACGGGTCGATGCTCGAGCCGTGGGCCTCCCTCCCGCGCTCGATGATGCTCTCCTTCATCGCCTGCGTTGCCTCTCGCGCTCCTCCTCGTCCATGGTGGACGCGTCGGGGCATGCCAGGCGCTCGGCGCCGCGCTTAAGCGGCTGCGGCGAGGGGATGTCGATCGCGTGGCCGTGAAAGGCCACCGCGCGATCGCAGAGGCTTTGCTGAACGGCGCGGCAGACATTCAGCTGCTCATCGATATCGCGCGTATCTTCGAGAACGGGGCACAAGGCGCTGGTCGGCTGACCAGCGGCCGCTCACGGGAACCATTCGCTCCCTTGCCTGCCGCTCGGCGGCTGCGTGGCCACCTCTGGGAAGTAGCATCTCGCGGGCGCGTCCTGGTCGAAGAGCGCGGGGCCACGGACCGTCGATGACTGCCCGAGCTCCTCGCCCCGCGCTAACTTCTTCATGGCGGCCGCGGCCCACCTCATGTGCTGGTCGTAGTCGGATGGAACGCGAGTCCGGTCTTTCTTGAATGCCTCGAGGATGTCGTACGTCTCGGGCGTGAAGAGATCTGGCTTCGCGGGCACTGGCCACGGAAAGCGAGGGACTGGCTCCTTCGTCGTGGATGCCGCCCGAAATTACACCCAGTTCGGCGAGAGGAGCACGACGTTGGACCTCGCCATGTACCCCTCCACGTCCGCCATACTGTAGCTGCACTGCTTTTCGCCGATGAAATTGCAGTCGATGGTCTTGATGAAGAATGCTACCTCTTCCTTCTCCCTGCTGACGGACTTGACCGTCGCCTCGGACTCCTCGTTATACGGACTGACGCAGATCTGGCGGGGCTGGTTCTGCTCGAAAGAGGCGCCGCCCCACCTGTGCAGCGCGCGGAGAACTACAACGAACAACCAAGAAGGCCCTGGTAAACTTACGAACATAATTTGGATGCGATTGAACAATTTTGTTTCCAAGAAGTGTATTGTCCCGCGCGCCGCCGCCTCGCCCAAAGCAGCGCGTCTTCCTCGGCGGGGTCGGGGAAAGCCTTGATCTCGTCGGGGTCCCACTTGGCCAGCGCGGCATCGTCTGCGATGGCGGGCTTGATTATGGCCCCAGGCTCCAGGCGCAGGAAGTCGATCTTCTTCGCCGTGATGGCGCTCGGGCGGAGGTCAGCGCGGCGGTGCTTCTCAATCTGGTAGATAGCGAAGCCGATCGTTTTGGACGCTGCGGATTTGCCGACCCTGGTCTTTCCGATCCACGCGGTCCCATGGACGTCGTGGCTCCTAAGGATGGGGGCGACGATGCGGTCGAACAGGAACGGGTCAAGCCGCTTGAGGGTGACCGCCCAGCGCGCGAGTGTCCTCGCGCCGACAGTGCCCGACGCGTAGTTGCAGAGCGACTCCTTGACGTCTGATGCCATCCATCCGAAGATCGGAGAGTTCTCGTCGTGAGCCATCTCGTCGGCCCACTCCACGAACTGGTTTTTGTTGTTGGCCCTCGGGCCGTACTTCTCGATGTAACGATAACCCGCCTGCCGCTTGCCCTTGTCATATACATCGGCCCCTGCGGCTGCGGCGGTGGCCGCGGGCGGCTGGGCCCAATGGCGGATCTGCACTCCGCCCAACCTGTCCATCATGTAGCGTCTTCTTGTCGGGCGAGTTTCCCCAGTGGGGAATCAGCGCCGTGCCGGAGACAAAGACCTCCTTCGCGATGTCCGTCCGCGTGGCTTCCTCGAACTTGATGCATTTCAAAGCGAGCTGCCGACCGTTGTCTTCCTTCGGCAAGGTGTAGAGCTGCATTGTGAATGCGACTGTTTCTCACTGATTCTAGGTCGCCCAGCGGCGCTGAGCTCCCTCAAGGAGAGCGCCGTCGCGCTTGGAGCCCTTCCAGGGGACGCCCAGCGGAACTGCGCTCCTTCAAGGAGAGCGCAGTCGCGCTTCGGGCCCTTCCAGGGGACGCCCAGCGGCGCTGAGCTCCCTCAAGGGGAGCGTCGTCGTGCTTGGGCCCCCTGCAGGGGGCGCCCAGCGGCGCTGGCTCTGGTTCTGGCTCTGGTTCTGGTTCTGGTTCTGGCTCTGGTTATGGCTCTGGCTCTGGTTCTGGTTCTGGTTCTGGTTCTGGTTCTGGCTCTGGTTCTGGTTATGAGCTCCCTCAAAGGGGGCGTCGTCGCGCTTCGTGCCCCTCCAGGTGACGGCCAGCAGCGCTGAGCTCCCTCAAGGGGGGCGTCGTCGCGCTTGGGGCCCTTCCAGGGGACGCCCAGCGGCGCTGAGCTCCCTCAAGGAGAGCGCCGTCGCGCTTGGAGCCCTTCCAGGGGACGCCCAGCGGCGCTGAGCTCCCTCAAGGGGAGCGTCGTCGTGCTTGGGCCCCCCATCCAGGGGACGCCCAGAGGCGCTGGCCCTGGTTCTGGCTATGGTTCTGGTTCTGGCTCAAGTTCTGGCTCTGGTTATGGTTCTGGTTCTGGCTCTGACTCTGTTTATGGTTCTGGCTCTGGTTCTGGTTCTGGTTCTGGGTCTGGTTCTGGCTCTGGCTCTGGCTCTGGTTCTGGTTATGAGCTCCCTCAAGGGGGGCGTCTCCGCGCTTGGTGCCCCTCCAGATGACGCCCAGCAGCGCTGAGCTCTCTCAGCGGGAGCGTCGTCGCGCTTGGAGCCCTTCCAGGGGACGCCCAGCGGCGCTGAACTTCCTCAAGGGGAGCGTCGTCGCGCTTGGGCCCCCCCCCAGGGGACGTCCAGCGGCGCTGGGCTCCCTCAAGGGAAACGCAAGTGACTATGATTGCTTCTGCGTTGCGGTGGGTTTGCCGCTGACTGTTGTTCAGGCAGCGACGGCATTGAGCTCAGTATCTCCAGGCAGGGGGAATATTGTTTACTATCCCCCTACATTGACAAGGGGACCCTTTTCACCGCAGATGACGATGAGGAGGACGCCCCCATGCGGAGGAGCAGGAGGAGGAAGATCATGATGATGAGGAGGATGCCCCCCCATCCCCCCGCTCCGTCGTTTGGGGGTGCTGGGGCGGGGGGCGAGCATAAATGTGTGCGCGTGTGTCTGAATGTGTATGAATGCATGTGCATGTGAATGAAGGTGTGTAGGTGAGAATGTGAGCGTCAATGCGAATGTGTGCGCGTGTGTGTGTGTGTGTGAAGTTTTTTTTTTTATGTGCGTGGGTATGTGTGAATGTGTGTGCGTGTGTGTGTGTGAAATGTGGATATGTGAGTGTGAATGTGAGTGTGCGCGCGGGTGTGAATATTTGTGGATGTGTGAGATTGTGCGTAAATGTGTATGCATGCGTGTGAATGCGTGTGTGCGTGTAAGTGTGAGTGTGAGTGTGATTGTAGGGGTGGGGGTGTGAGTGTGAGTGTGTGTATGTGTTTGAATGCGTGTGCATGCGTGCAAATGTGTGTGTGCATGGAGTGTGGGTGTGAGTGTGTGTGTGAGTGCGTGTGTGTGAACGTGTGTGCATGTGTATGGTTGTGTGTGAGTGTGAGTGTGAGCGTGTGTGTGAATGTGTGTGTGAGTGTGAGTGTGAGTGTGTGGGTGGGTATGAATGTGTGCGCATGTGTTTGAATGTGTTTATGTGCTTTAATGTGTGTACATGTGCGCGGGTGTGGGTGTGAGTGTGTTTGTGAGAGGTTGTGTGTGTGAACGTGTGTGTGTGTGAGTGTGTATGCGTTCATCTATGTGTAAGTGCGTGTGAGTGTGAATGTGTGTGCACGTATGTAAATGTGCACTTGTGAGTGTGAGTGTGAGTGGAAGTTTGTGTGTGTGTGAGTGTGTGAATGTGTGTGCATGTGTGTGTGAATGAGTGTGTGAATGTGATTGTGAGTGTGAGTGTGTGTGTGTGGGCGTACGTGTTAGTGCGCGTGCGTGTGTGTGAACGTGTGTGTGAATGTGTGTGAATGAATGTGCACGTGTGTGAATGTGTGTGAATGTGAGTGTGAGTGAAAGTGTGTGCGAAAGTGTGTGTGTGTGTGAATGTGCGCGCATGTGTGTGAATGCGTGTGCGCGAGCCTGAGTGTGAGTGTGTGTGTGTTAGTGTGAATGTGTGTGTGTGTGTGTACAGTGTGAGTGAGTGCATGCGTGTGTGTGAGTGTGAAAAGTGTGTGTGTGTGAGTGTGAGTGTGAGTGCGTGTGTGACGTGTGTGCTGTGTGTGGGTGGAACTGTGAGTGCGTGTGTGAGTGTGCGTGTGTGAAGTGTGAAGTGTGAATGTGTGTGTGTGTGTGTGTGGTGTGAGTGTGCGTGTGCGTGTGTGTGTGTGTGTGAGTGTGTGTGTGTGTGTGTGTGTGTGTGTGCGTGTGTGTGTGTGTGTGTGCGTGTGTGTGTGTGTGCGTGTGTGTGTGTGCGTGTGTGTGAATGCGCGTGCATGTGTGTAAATGTGTGTGAGTGTGAGTGTGCGTGTGAGTGTGTGAGTGTGAGTGTGCGTGTGAGTGTGTGTGAGCGTGAGTGTGTGCGGGCGTGCGCGTGTGTGTGTGTGTGTGTACTCGTGTGTGTGAATGTGTGTGTGAATGTGTGAATGTGTGTGTGAGTGCGAGTTTGAGTGGGAGTGTGAGTGCGAGTGTGAGTGTGAGCGTGAATGTGTGAGTGTGAGCGTCAGAGTGAGAAGAGTGTGTGTGTGTATATGTGTGTGCCGCTGCCCGCGATCTTCGGTCGGAGATCGGTCCACCTGCTGCCTGCGGAGACCCCAAAGTGCCCACCGAGAGCCACACGAGGGCCCCGAGGCAGCCCGGGACGGCCCCAAGAAAGCCCCAGCTGGCTCGACAGGGCCTCCAGAGGAACCCAAAAAGGCCAACGAGGGCCCCTGGACCGCCCAACCTAGAGACACCCTAGACCGCCAAGGGGGCCACAAGAAGGCCACAGGACGGATCATGACGGCGTCAAGGAACCCGCAAGAATGCCAAGAAAGCCCCAAGATGGTCGAAATAAGACCCATGGGAGCTCATCAAGAAATCGAGACGAGAGGTGTCACGTGTGACGGCCGTCCTAACAATGAGATCAGGGCTGCCACGCAGAATGCTTCGCTGGCACGCTGGCGGATTTGCCGCAAGCAACTGGATATTATCAAAAATATGCCACTGCAACCGAAGACACGGAAGGACCCTTGCCGCTCACTCCCAGATCAGCGTCCACAAGACCCACATGATGGGTACAACCTGGTGGAGGAATCATAACGTCGTTGTGGTCGTCCTCTCCCAGCAGGCCTCCGACTGCAAAACCTGCCCGTCCCAAATGTTTCACGTAAACGTTCAAGTAGCTGATGCCACTTTGCGTGTGTCCTTGAACAACCTTCAGCTCAACCTTCCCAAAAGCAACCCATTCTGGAGTCTCGACTGCACGTGTCGACACGGCGTAACGATACCCTCCAGCTCGCCTTGCCTCTGCGAAAGACCCCGTAACATTGACACCGACGAAGTACATGTCCGCGCAAGAGCTACCCATTCGGAGCGCATCAGCCTGCACTCGAAGCAATGCCTCGTCAGGGCGCACTCCTCGAGGGATGTTAATCAACACGTGCTTGCCTGGCTGCATTAAATCGAACCGCTCACCGTGAACGTTCTGCAGGTGGGGGTCGCCAGTGGCAGCCGCTCCGCCGGCTCCGCCCGCCATGGCAGCCCCTGGAGGAAACGTCGGATGCGGCGTCGGCCAACCGACAGGATACGTTGGGCTGGGCGTCGGGCTCGGCGTTGGGTAAGGCGTTGGGAAAACCGTCGGGTAGGGCGTCGGGAAGGGCGTCGGGAAGGGCGTCGGGTAGGGCGTCGGGAAGGCCGTCGGGAAGGGCGTCGGAGAGGGCGTTGGGGAAGCCGCGGTGGTAGCCGATCCTGCGAAAAGCCATGCTTGGTGTTGGAAGAGCTGCACGCCAGACGACCCAGCGCCGTGTATGAAGTATTCCCCGAAAGGGGCATTGACATTGTTGGGCCAATTCTGCGTCTTCAGCCCGATCCCAATAGGAGAGTCGGCGTCGCTGGTATCATATGGCTGGCAGCTCTGGTCAGGGAGGTTCACGCAGTACCCGATGCGGGCCCAGTTGTTGTCATTGCACTGGGTGTTGATCCCTGGCCGCTGCATATTGCAATTGCCGCCTCCGTTCCCGTTCCAATAGTCGTCGTACCAGGTCGGGGTCCCCGGCGGCAAAAACAGATCTGTCCAGGCCTGCTTCGCTGCGTCGGCGGCTCCAGCGCCATAACCCAGATTTTCGCTGCGGATGAATCCCGAGCTGAAGAGAGCGCTTGCGCTGGTGTACGTCGCGCCCAGCTCGTACGTGTAGCAGTTGTCCAGCGTCTTGTAGCACAACGTCAGGGCGGAGATCGGGTCTGTGTTGAATGCCGACATCTTGACGTCCTCGTCGTCAGAGTCGCTGACCGAAGCGCCGCCAGCTTCGTTCAACACAGAAGTGTCGGTCCAATAGCTTGCGTCATACTGGAAGGTATTGGAGCCCGCCCTCAGCTTCATCAGCAGCGTCGGCGCCGAACTTGGCGATGCAACACAATCGACGGTCGTATCGAGTGTCGCATAACCAGTGTCTGTAATCGTTTTCAAAGTTGTCCATGTGACCGCATCGTTTGAGCCTTCCATGTAGGCCGTCCCACTCGCGCTGTGATCACCTCTCCAAAACCAAATCTTGACCTGATCGACTTGTGTCGGCACTCCGAAGTCGTACGCCAACCACCCAGCCCCTCGGGGATAACCATCACCGGCTTCATTGCAATATCCACTGCCATACATTGCATAATTGCTTTGATCGAAAGCTTTCTCGGGGCTCCAATCCGAGTAGAATCCGGAAGTAGCAAAAGCGCACGGTGCACTGCCGCAGTGAGTTGCAGGTGTTGAGAGCACGCTACCACCGTACAAGTACTGCATCTCATTGATGCACAGATGCTGTGGGTTTGCACTCGCGACTGGGACATAGTACCTGTAGTAGCGCCACGCACCGCATGCCGCCTCGACTGCCACGGTCTGCGATCCAGTTGCTGTGAAAGTATGAATTTGGTAGCCATTGCTCGTGGTGACTGTGCCACCTTGGAGCAACGGGGTGGAACTCAGGTACCTGATGATCACGATGCCAGACCCTCCATTGCCAGCCAAGGAAGACTCAGGATCCGTGCCGCCGCCACCACCGCCAGTGTTTGCCTGCCCATCTTCGCCATTGAAGTAAGCGCCGCCACCACCGCCGTAACTGCTTCCATCGCCGCCGCCCCCTAGGCCGCCGGCCCCTCCTGGATAAGTGGTGCAACCGCAGTTTGCGTTGACGCCACCGCCACCGCCTCCGCCGTAATACGTAGAGGTGCCTGAAATCGACGACGCCACTCCAACGCCACCATCTCCTCCGTAGTGCTGCTGGGGCGCGTCGCTCCCAACGCCGCCCGCACCGCCGCCGCCACCGCCTGCGCCGTACCCCCCCCTGTCGCTGCGCCCACCCCGGTAGCCCTGTCCCGCGACCCCAGCCGCGTAGGCAACACTCGGCAGATCGTAGGCGCCTCCACCGCCTGAGCCTCCGCTGGAGGCAGTCCTGGAACTGCCCCCCGCACCCTTGCCACCGCCATATGCCACCAGAGAGCCGATCGAAGAATCTCCTCCGTTCGTCGCCTCCGCAGTGGTGCCGCTGCCCCCCGAACCTCCGAGACCGCCGGCGCCAACCGTGATGACTTCGTCGACAGATATGACCAGACCCGTCCCTTGGAGCACACCGCCGCCGCCGCCGCCTCCGGAAGCGCCGCCACCGCCGCCGCCGACAATCAGGTATTCCACTGTCAAGGTCGACTGCGCCGCCTGCTTCTCCCAGGTGGCAGCTGCATCAGTGGCGGTCGCCGCGCGAGGCTCGGCCCTGTCGAAGTGCAAGGCTCCTGCGCAGCCTAGCAACATGAACAACGCCGGAGTGTCCGACGGCTTCATGGCACCGAGGAGGGTGCTGTGATATACTGAAGCACGAATGTGAAGGTGTGTTACAAAATGCTTGAAACATACATAGCGGATAGGGACACAATAAACGGCCATCCCACTACAAAGATCACGACACTCTGGGCACCACTGGGCCCTTGATAGATCCCCTGGCAAACCCGCTCGTGGAAGGCGCAAGCGCCATGCCTGCCACATCGCGATAACCACTGGGCAAAAAGAGTGGCTCTGCGAGCGAGTGACTTGTGGTGCGTGGTTTCAGGGGGGCGCGGGCGCATCACCCAAGAATGCCCCAAAGGGACACTCTAGAATGCCGCCAGAATGGCTGAAGTCACGGATCCCCCTTCCGCTCTTGACTGTAGCATATCATATGAAATACGCAAGGCTGTAACATGTAATACGTAAAAGCTTGATACATTATGTGTACTGTGTGGCTCACTCGCCTTTTCGGGCTCCAGGCATACAAGACGTCTGATACCCACAAGACGGTCAAAAAGGCCCTCAATAAAGCCATCCTTCTATCCAGACAGCCAGCCAACCAACCGAGTTGTCAGCCTGGCAACTGATCAGAAAAGCAACTGATCAACCCCATCGACCCAGCCATGCAAGCAATCAGAAGGGTGTCCGGCGGCAGAAAACGAAGCCTTTACGATTTTGTGAATCAATGCGGGTGTTGGTAGGAATGGGTCTTAGTTAATTGTGCGTGCGTCTGCCTGTGAGCGCTTGCTTGGGTATGGAAGGGTCTGAACTGACCGAGTCTAAGTGTGAGTGGGCTTGACTGTGAACGGATCCGATCATGGGCATGAGTGAAAGGATCCTGGGGGGTCCTGGGGTTTCCCAGGGGGTTCTGAAGCCTTTAGGGGGGTCCCAGGGCCCCCCTGGGCTTCCTGGAGCCTGCAGCCTCCTGGAGTGTTCTCAAGCCTCCCGGGGTTTCCGGGAGCCTCCCGATGCAAATCTCCTGGTCGACCCTCCATGGCATGGTGTGATGTTTATGGGATTCTGAAAAGAATCTCGTCTACCCCCAAGAGCGGCAACTGTATTTTTCTGCTCCGGAACAGAAACTCCGTTTGTAGCATGGCATTGTCACGAGTAATCATGCACGGCAAGCGTGATCCGCGGCCATGACCCCTGGCATGCTGAGGCGTGGTAGAACGCCAAGCGCTGCCTGGCAGGGTATATGCAGTCTTCTGAAGCACTTCCTTTCATCACGTCCAGTTGCGTGCATCGCCACCCCCACCTTCCCGAGGCTCCGTGGGCCGCCCAGACGCCTCCCTTGGGGCTCACCAGAGCTTTCCGCGGCTTCCACGGCAGCGGGGGAAACCCGAAGCCGCCAACATGACCCAACAATGTCTGAAAACGCTGTGTTTGTTGTTTCCGGTGTTTCTGGTTCTTCGAGTTTTTCCGTTTGATTTCTGGCAGAGACTACGCAAGTTGGCTAGTCTCTCCCAGGAACCCGAAAAACCAGAGAAACCAGAAAAACATGAAAAACACAGCGTGTTCAGTCCCTCTACGCTAAGGGAGGAGGAATGTGAAAGGATACAGGAGTGATGCGAATGAGCGGAGGCCGAACCGTGTGAGGGTGTGCCGAGATTGATTTGGGGCCTTCGGTAGAGGCTCATCTGCGTGGTCACGGAACGTTAGAGGGGTGCGCCGAAGAAATTCCCCACGCTTCCCCTTCCATTCCAAACAACAGCATGGGTGAATGCAAGTGTTGCCTTTTGTGCAAAATCGTAGCGTCACGACAGATCAAAAACAATATGTGCATCCGCGCACATCTCGCTCGGGCACCCCCGGCGCGTTTGCCCAGCGTCTCGCAGCGCGGACAGCATTCCAAAGATAAGCTTCACGGGTCATACGTGGCAAGCAAAACGGCTGCGCATCGGCGTGCGCATCAGCTGCAGCAGATACTACTGCGCTCGGTTCAGTCAGAGGCCGAACCCTCGCCCACTTGCGGGAAGGGCCACTCGTCGCCTGAAGCGGCGGCCGCGCCCTCGGCCATCGCCGCGGCGATATCCTGCGAGGAGACGTCGGCGGCTGGCGGGCGCGCTGGGGACAACAGGTCGATGCTCGAGCCGTGGGCCTCCCTCCCGCGCTCGATGATATTCTCCTTCGTCGCCTGCATGGCGCTCTCGCGCTCCTCCTCGTCCATGGTGGACACGTCGGGGCAAGCCAGGCGCTTGACGCCGCGCTTAAGCGGCTGCGGCGAGGAGACGTCGATCACGCGGCCGTGAAAGGCCACCGCGCGATCGCAGAGGCTTTGCTGAACGGCGCGGCAGGCATTCAGCTGCTCATCGATATCACGCGTATCTTCGACCACGGGGCACGAGGCGCTGGTCGGCTGACCAGCGGCCGCGCGCGGGAACCATTCGCCCCCCTGCCTGCCGCTCGGCGGCTGCGTGGCCACCTCTGGGAAGTTGTATCTCGCGGGCGCGTCCTGGTCGAAGGGCGTGGGGCCACGGACCGTCGATGACTGCCCGAGCTCCTCGCCCCGCGCTAACTTCTTCATGGCGGCCGCGGCCCGCCTCGTGGGCTGGTCGTAGTCGGATGGAACGCGAGTCTGGTCTTTCTTGAATGCCTTGACGATGTCGTACGTCCCGGGCGTGGAGAGATCTGACTTCGCGGGCACTGGCCACGGAAAGCGAGGGGCTGGCTCCTTCGTCGTGGATGCCGCCCGGAAGTGCACCCAGTTCGGCGAGAGGAGCACGACGTTGGACCCCGCCACGTACGCCTCCACGTCCGCCATCTTGTAGCAGCACTGCTTTTCGCCGATGAAATTGCAGTCGATGTTCTTGATGAGGTCACTGAATGCTACCTCTTCCTTGACCCTGCTGACGGACTTGACCGTCGCCCCGAATTCCTCGTTATACGGATTGACACAGATCTGGCGGGACTGGTTCTGCCCGAAAGAGGCGCCGCCCCACCTGTGCAGCGCGCGGAAAAACAAATAAAAAAACAGTGTAAACTTATTGACGTAATTTTGATGCGTTTAAAAAATTGCGCCCTAGACATGTACATTCCCGCGCGCCGCCGCCTCGCCCAAAGCGGCGCGTCTTCCTCGGCGGGGTCGAGGAAAGCCTTGATCTCGTCGGGGCCCCACTTGGCCAGCGCGGTATCGTCTGCGATGGCGGGCTTGATTATGGCCCCAGGCTCCAAGCGCAGGAAGTCGATCTTCTTCGCCGCGATGCCGCTCGGGCGGAGGTCAGCGCGGCGGTGCTTCTCAATCTGGTAGGCAGAAATAACGAAGCCGATCGTTTTGGATGCTGTGGATTTCCCGACCCTGGTCTTTCCGATCCACATGGTCCCATGGACGTCGTGGCTCCTAAGGATTGGGACGACGATGCGGTCGAACAGGGACGGGTCAAACCGCTTGAGAGTGACCGCCCAGCGCCCGAGTGTCCTCGCGCCGACAGTGCCCGGCGCGTAGTTGCGGAGCGACTCCTTGACGTCTGATGCCATCCATCCGAACATCGGAGAGTTCTCGTCGTGAATCATCTCGTCGGTCCACTCCACGAACTGGTTTTTGTTGTTGGCCCTCGGGCCGTACTTCTCGATGTAGCGGCAACCCGCCTGCCGCTTGCCCTTGCCATATACATGGCCCCTGCGGCTGCGGCGGTGGCCACGGGCGGCTGGACCGAATGGCGGATCTGCCCTCCGCCCAACCTGTCCATCATATAGTGAAACAGCTTCAGCGGCGTCTTCTTGTCGGGCGAGTTTCCCCAGTGGGGAGTCAGCGCCGTGCCAGAGACAAAGACCTCCTTCGCGATGTCCGTCCGCGTGGCCTTCTCGAACTTGATGCATTTCAAAGCGAACTGCCGACCGTTGCCTTCCTTCGGCAAGGTGTAGAGCTGCATTGTGAATGCGGCTGATTCTCGCTGATTCTAAATCGACCAGCGGCGCTGAGCTCCCTCAAGGAGAGCGCCGTCGGGCTCGAAGCCCTTCCAGGCGACGCCCAGCGGAACTGCGCCCCCTCAAGGAGAGCGCAGTCGCGCTTCGGGCCCTTTCCAGGGGGCGCCCAGCGGCGCTGAGCTCCCTCAAGGGGAGCGTCGTCGTGCTCGGGCCCCCTCCAGGGGACGCCCAGCGGCGCTGGCTCTGGTTCTGGCTCTGGTTCTGGTTCTGGTTCTGGTTCTGGTTCTGGCTTTGGCTCTGGTTATGAGCTCCCTCAAGGGGGGCGTCGTCGCGCTTCGTGCACCTCCAGGTGACGCCCAGCAGCGCTGAGCTCCCTCAAAGGGGGGCGTCGTCGCGCCTGGGGCCCTTCCAGGGGACGCCCAGCGGAACTGCGCTCCCTCAAGAGGGCGTCGTCGCGCTTCGGGCCCTTCAAGGGGACGCCCATCGGCGGTGAGCTCCCTCAAGGGGAGCGTCGTCGTGCTTGGGCCCCCTTCCAGGGGACGCCCAGAGGCGCTGGCTCTGGTCCTGGCTCTGGTTCTGGTTCTGGTTCTGGCTTTGGCTCTGGTTATGAGCTCCCTCAAGAGGGGGCGTCGTCGCGCTTCGTGCACCTCCAGGTGACGCCCAGCAGCGCTGAGCTCCCTCAAAGGGGGGCGTCGTCGCGCCTGGGGCCCTTCCAGGGGACGCCCAGCGGAACTGCGCTCCCTCAAGAGGGCGTCGTCGCGCTTCGGGCCCTTCAAGGGGACGCCCATCGGCGGTGAGCTCCCTCAAGGGGAGCGTCGTCGTGCTTGGGCCCCCTACCAGGGGACGCCCAGAGGCGCTGGCTCTGGTTCTGGTTCTGGTTCTGGTTCTGGCTCTGGTTCTGGTTCGGGTTCTGGTTCTGACTCTGGTTATGGTTCTGGCTCTGGTTCTGGTTCTGGCTATGGTTCTGGTACTGGTTCTGGTTGTGAGCTCCCTCCAGGGGGGCATCGTCGCGCTTGGTGCCCCTCCAGGTGGCGCCCAGCAGCGCTGAGCTCTCTCAAAGGGGAGCGTCGTCGCGCTTCGGGCCCTTCAAGGGGACGCCCAGCGGCGGTGAGCTCCCTCAAGGGGAGCGTCGTCGCGCTTGGGGCCCCTCCAGGGGGCGCCCAGGGCTTCCCCAAGGGAAACGCAAGTGTTTATGATTGCTTCTGCGGTGCGGCGGGTTTGCCGCTGACTGTTGTTCATGCAGCGACGGCATTGAGCTCAGTATCTCCAGACAGGGGGAATATTGTTTAATAGCCCCTTTATATTGACAGGGTGGCCCTTTTCACCGCAGATGACGATGAGGAGGACGCCCCCATGCGGAGGAGCAGGAGGAGGACGAGAATGATGATGAGGAGGATGCCCCCCCCATCCCCCCACTCCGTCGTTTGGGGGTGCTGGGGCGGGGGGCGAGCATACATGTGTGCGCGTGTGTCTGAATGTGTATGAATGCGTGTGCATGTGAATGAAGGTGTGTAAGTGAGAATGTGAGTGTCAATGCGAATGTGTGCGCGTGTGTGTGTGAAGGTTTTTTATGTGCGTGGGTATGTGTGAATGTGTGTGCATGTGTGTGGAATGTGCATATGTGAGTGTGAATGTGAGTGTACGCGCGGGTGTGAATACGTGTGGATGTGTGTGTGATTGTGTGCGAATGTATACGCATGCGTGTGAATGTGTGCGTGTGTGTGTGTGCGTGTAAGTGTGAGTGTGACTGTGATTGTAGGGGTGTGAGTGTGAGTGTGAGTGTGTGTGTGTGTGCATGCGTGTGCATGCGTGCGAATGTGTGTACATGGAGTGTGGGTGTGTGTGTGAGTGCGTGTGTGTGACCGTGTGTGCATATGTATGATTGTGTGTGAGTGTGAGTGTGAGCGTGTGTGTGTGTGTGTGTGTGTGAATGTGAGTGTGAGTGCGTGGGTGTGTATGAATGTGTGCGCATGTGTTTGAATGTGTTTATGTGCTTTAATGTGTGTACATGTGCGTGGGTGTGAGTGTGAGTGTGTTTGTGAGAGGTTGTGTTTGTGTGAACGTGTGTGTGAGTGTGTATGTGTTCATCTATGTGGAAGTGCGTGTGAGTGTGAATGTGTGTGCATGCATGTGTTTGTGTGTTTGTGCGTGTGAGTGTGAGTGGAAGTGTGTGTGAGAGAGTGTGTGAATGTGTGTGCATGCGTGTGAATGAGTGTGTGAGTGTGAATGTGAGTGTGAGTGTGTGTGGGCGTACGTGTTAGTGCGTGTGTGTGTGTGAACGTGTGTGTGAATGTGTGTGAATGAATGTGAACGTGTGTGAATGTGTGTGAATGTGAGTGTGAATGTAAGTGTGTGCGAAAGTGTGTGTGTGTGTGAATGTGCGCGCATGTGTGTGAATGCGTGTGCGCGAGCCTGAGTGTGAGTGTGTGTGTTAGTGTGTGTGTGAATGTGTGTGCATGTGTGTGAACAAAAATAATGTATACGCATGTGTGTGAATGTGTGTGTGTGAGTGCGAGTGTGAGTGTGAGTGTGTGTGAGAGGGGTTGTGTGTGTGACTGTGTCCGCGTGTGCGTGTGCAAGTCTGAATGTGAGTGTGAGTGCGTGTGTTGTGAGAGTGTGTGTGTGTGGTTGCGTGTGCATGTGTAACTGTGTTTTAATGTGTGCATGTGTGTGAGTGTGTGCGTGTGGGTGGAAGTGTGACTGTGAGTGCGTGTGTGACAGAGTATGTGTGCGTGTGTGAATGTGTGTGCATGTGTGTGAACGTATGCGGACGTGATGTGTGTGGACGTGCGTGTGGTATTGTGAGTGTGAGCGTGAGTGTGTGCGTGTGCGCGTGAGAGTGTAAGTGTGAGTGTGTGTGTGTGCGTGTGTGTGTGTGCGTGTGAGTGTTTGTGTGTGCGTGTGTGTGTGTGTGTGTGTGCGTGCGTGTGTGTGTGTGTGCGTGTGTGTGTGTGCGTGTGTGTGTGCGTGTTTGTGTGTGCGTGCGTGTGTGTGTGTGCGTGTGTGCGTGTGTGTGTGTGTGTGTGAATGCGCGTGCATGTGTGTAAATGTGTGTGAGTGTGAGTGTGCGTGTGAGTGTGTGTGTGTGTGAGCGTGAGTGTGTGCGGGTGGGCGCGTGTGTGTGTGTGTGTTCGTGTGTGTGAATGTGTGTGTGTGAATGTGTGAATGTGTGTGAGTGCGAGTTTGAGTGGGAGTGTGAGTGCGAGTGTGAGTGTGAGCGTGAATGTGTGAGTGTGAGCGTCAGAGTGAGAAGAGTGTGAGTGTGTGTATATGTGTTTGTGTGCCGCTGCCCGCGATCTTCGGTCGGAGATCGGTCCACCTGCTGCCTGCGGAGACCCCAGAGTGCCCACCGAGAGCCACACGAGGGCCCCGAGGCAGCCCGGGACGGCCCCAAGAAGCCCCAGCTGGCTCAACAGGGCCTCCAGAGGAACCCAAAAAGGCCAACGAGGGCCCCTAGACCGCCCAACCTAGAGACACCCTAGACCGCCAAGGGGGCCCCAAGAAGGCCACAGGACGGATCGTAACGGCGTCAAGGAACCCGCAAGAATGCCAAGAAAGCCCCAAGATGGTCGAAATAAGACCCATGGGAGCTCAGCAAGAAATCGAGACGAGAGGTGTCACGTGTGACGGCCGTCCTAACAATGAGATCAGGGCTGCCACGCAGAATGCTTCGCTGGCACGCTGGCGGATTTGCCGCAAGCAACTGGATATTATCAAAAATATGCCACTGCAACCGAAGACACGGAAGGACCCGTGCTGCTCACTCCCAGATCAGCGTCCTCAAGACCCACATGATGGGTACAACCTGGTGGAGGAATCATAACGTCGTTGTGGTCGTCCTCTCCCAGCAGGCCTCCGACTGCAAAACCTGCCCGGCCCAAATGCTTCACGTAAACGTTCAAATAGCTGATGCCACTTTGCGTGCGTCCTTGAACAACCTTCAGCTCAACCTTCCCAAAAGCAACCCATTCCGGAGTCTCGACTGCACGTGTCGACACGGCGTAACGATACCCTCCAGCTCGCCGTGCCTCTGCGAAAGACCCCGTCACATTGACACCGACGAAGTACATGTCCGCGCAAGAGCTACCCATTCGGCGCGCATCAGCCTGCACTCGAAGCAATGCCTCTTCAGGGCGCACTCCTCGAGGGATGTTAATCAACACATGCTTGCCTGGCTGCATTAAATCGAACCGCTCACCGTGAACGTTCTGCAGGTGGGGGTCGCCAGTGGCAGCCGCTCCGCCGGCTCCGCCCGCCATGGCAGCCCCTGGAGGAAACGTCGGATGCGGCGTCGGCCAACCGACAGGATACGTTGGGCTGGGCGTCGGGCTCGGCGTTGGGTAAGGCGTTGGGAAAACCGTCGGGTAGGGCGTCGGGAAGGGCGTCGGGAAGGGCGTCGGGTAGGGCGTCGGGAAGGCCGTCGGGAAGGGCGTCGGAGAGGGCGTTGGGGAAGCCGCGGTGGTAGCCGATCCTGCGAAAAGCCATGCTTGGTGTTGGAAGAGCTGCACGCCAGACGACCCAGCGCCGTGTATGAAGTATTCCCCGAAAGGGGCATTGACATTGTTGGGCCAATTCTGCGTCTTCAGCCCGATCCCAATAGGAGAGTCGGCGTCGCTGGTATCATATGGCTGGCAGCTCTGGTCAGGGAGGTTCACGCAGTACCCGATGCGGGCCCAGTTGTTGTCATTGCACTGGGTGTTGATCCCTGGCCGCTGCATATTGCAATTGCCGCCTCCGTTCCCGTTCCAATAGTCGTCGTACCAGGTCGGGGTCCCCGGCGGCAAAAACAGATCTGTCCAGGCCTGCTTCGCTGCGTCGGCGGCTCCAGCGCCATAACCCAGATTTTCGCTGCGGATGAATCCCGAGCTGAAGAGAGCGCTTGCGCTGGTGTACGTCGCGCCCAGCTCGTACGTGTAGCAGTTGTCCAGCGTCTTGTAGCACAACGTCAGGGAGGAGATCGGGTCTGTGTTGAATGCCGACATCTTGACGTCCTCGTCGTCAGAGTCGCTGACCTAAGCGCCGCCAGCTTCGTTCAACACAGAAGTGTCGGTCCAATAGCTGGCGTCATACTGGAAGGTATTGGAGCCCGCCCTCAGCTTCATCAGCAGCGTCGGCGCCGAACTTGGCGATGCAACACAATCGACGGTCGTATCGAGTGTCGCATAATCAGTGTCTGTAATCGTTTTCAAAGTTGTCCATGTGACCGCATCGTTTGAGCCTTCCATGTAGGCCGTCCCACTCGCGCTGTGATCACCTCTCCAAAACCAAATCTTGACCTGATCGACTTGTGTCGGCACTCCGAAGTCGTACGCCAACCACCCAGCCCCTCGGGGATAACCATCACCGGCTTCATTGCAATATCCACTGCCATACATTGCATAATTGCTTTGATCGAAAGCTTTCTCGGGGCTCCAATCCGAGTAGATTCCGGAAGTAGCAAAAGCGCACGGCGCACTGCCGCAATGAGTTGCAGGTGTTGAGAGCACGCTACCACCGTACAAGTACTGCATCTCATTGATGCACAGATGCTGTGGGTTTGCACTCGCGACTGGGACATAGTACCTGTAGTAGCGCCACGCACCGCATGCCGCCTCGACTGCCACGGTCTGCGATCCAGTTGCTGTGAAAGTATGAATTTGGTAGCCATTGCTCGTGGTGACTGTGCCACCTTGGAGCAACGGGGTGGAACTCAGGTACTTGATGATCACGATGCCAGACCCTCCATTGCCAGCCAAGGAAGACTCAGGATCCGTGCCGCCGCCACCACCGCCAGTGTTTGCCTGCCCATCTTCGCCATTGAAGTAAGCGCCGCCACCACCGCCGTAACTGCTTCCATCGCCGCCGCCCCCTAAGCCGCCGGCCCCTCCTGGATAAGTGGTGCAACCGCAGTTTGCGTTGACGCCACCGCCACCGCCTCCGCCGTAATACGTAAGAGTGCCTGAAATCGACGACGCCACTCCAACGCCACCATCTCCTCCGTAGTGCTGTTGGGGCGCGTCGCTCCCAACGCCGCCCGCACCGCCGCCGCCACCGCCTGCGCCGTACCCCCCCCTGTCGCTGCGCCCACCCCGGTAGCCCTGTCCCGCGACCCCAGCCGCGTAGGCAACACTCGGCAGATCGTAGGCGCCTCCACCGCCTGAGCCTCCGCTGGAGGCAGTCCTGGAACTGCCCCCCGCCCCCTTGCCACCGCCATATGCCACCAGAGAGCCGATCGAAGAATCTCCTCCGTTCGTCGCCTCCGCAGTGGTGCCGCTGCCCCCGAACCTCCGAGACCGCCGGCGCCAACCGTGATGACTTCGTCGACAGACATGACCAGACCCGTCCCTTGGAGCACACCGCCGCCGCCGCCGCCTCCGGAAGCGCCGCCACCGCCGCCGCCGACAATCAGGTATTCCACTGTCAGGGTCGACTGCGCCGCCTGCTTCTCCCAGGTGGCAGCTGCGTCAGTGGCGGTCGCCGCGCGAGGCTCGGCCCTGTCGAGGTGCAAGGCTCCTGCGCAGCCTAGCAAGATGAACAGCGCCGGTGTGTCCGACGGCTTCATGGCACCGAGGAGGGTGCTGAGAGATGCTGAAGCACGAATGTGAAGGTGTGTTACAAAATGCTTGAACCATACATGCATGGATAGGGACACAATAAACGGCCATCCCACTACAAAGATCACGACACTCTGGGCACCACTGGGCCCTTGATAGATCCCCTGGCAAACCCGCTCGTGGAAGGCGCAAGCGCCATGCCTGCCACATCGCGATGATCACTGGGCAAAAAGAGTGGCTCTGCGAGCGAGTGACTTGTGGTGCGTGGTTTCAGGGGGGCGCGGGCGCATCACCCAAGAATGCCCCAAAAGGACACCCTAGAATGCCGCCAGAATGGCTGAAGTCACGGATCCCCCTTCCGCTCTTGACTGTAGCATATAAAATGAAATACGCAAGGCTGTAACATGTAATACGTAAAAACTTGATACATTATGTGTACTGTGTGGCTCACTCGCCTTTTCGGGCTCCAGGCATACAAGACGTCTGATACCCACAAGACGGTCAAAGATGCCCTCAATAAAGCCATCCGTCTATCCAGACAGCCAGCCAACCAACCGAGTTGTCAGCCTGGCAACTAATCAGAAAAAGCAACTGATCAACCCCATCGACCCAGCCATGCAAGCAATCAGAAGGGTGCCCGGCGGCAGAAAACGAAGCCCTTACGATTTTGTGAATCAGTGCGGGTATTGGTAGGAATGGGTCTTAGTTAATTGTGCGTGCGTCTGCCTGTGAGCGCTTGCTTGGGTATGGAGGGGTCTGAACTGACCGAGTCTAGGTGTGAGTGGGCTTGACTGTGAACGGATCCGAGCATGGGCATGAGTGAAGGGATCCTGGGGGGTCCTGGGGCTTCCCAGGGGGTTCTGAAGCCTTTAGGGGGGTCCCGGGGCCCCCGTGGGCTTCCTGGAGCCTGCAGCCTCCTGGAATGTTCTCAAGCCTCCCGGGGCTTCCGGGAGCCCCCCGATGCAACTCTCCTGGTCGACCCTCCATGGCATGGTGTGATGTTTATGGGACTCTGAAATGAATCTCGTCTCTCCCCCAAGAGCGGCAACTGTATTTTTCTGCTCCGGAACAGAAACTCCGTTTGTAGCATGGCATTGTCACGAGTAATCATGCACGGCAAGCGTGATCCGCGGCAATGACCCCTGGCATGCTGAGGCGTGGTAGAACGCCAAGCGCTGCCTGGCAGGGTATCTGTAGTCTTCTGAAGCACTTCCTTTCATCACGTCCAGTTGCGTGCATCGCCACCCCCACCTTCCCGAGGCTCCGTGGGCCGCCCAGACTCCTCCCTTGGCGCTCACCAAAGCTTTCCGAGGCTTCCACGGCAGCGGGGGAAGCCCGAAGCCGCCAACATGACCCAACAGTGTCTCAAGAGGCCCCCAACAGCTGCCAAAAAACGCTGCATGCACCTGAGTAAGCCACCAAGATGCTCCCAGACCCCCCCGAGGCGCTCTCGAGAAGGGGGGGCAACACACACACAGAGGCACACATGCACACATATTTGTGTGGATGTATGTATGTAGGTATATATATATGTATATATTTACATATATATATAAATGTATACGTATATATGTATATGCATTTATACGGATATATATGTATATATGCATACATACACATATATATGTATGACCATACGTATCTTCTTTTATACGCACATGTATGTATATAAATGTGGACGCCCCCCGCCCCAACACCCCCAAACCACCCCAAAACAAACAAACCGCCAACTGATCGTGTTATCCTCATCCTTTTCCGTCTCCTCCTCGTTATCCCGTCCTCCTCCTTCTCAGAAACTGAAAACGACTCTTTTGAGCTCGTTTGAGGAAGGGTCACGTCTCTGAGCGTAGGGGCCTGGAAACGCTGTGTTGTTTCAGGTTGTTATTTTTTTTGTTTTGTTTTCTTCTCTGATTTCTGGCAGAGACTACGCAAGTTGGCTAGTCTCTCCCAGGAATCCGAAAAACCAGAAAAAAAAAACAGAAACACCTGAAAACACACAGCGTGTTCAGTCCCTCTACCTTCTCCGCCTCCTCCTCGTTATCCCGTCCTCCTCCTTCTCAGAAACTGAAAACGACTCTCTTGGGCTCGTTTGAGGAGGGGTCACGTCTCTGAGCGTAGGGGCCTGAAAACGCTGTGTTGTTTTTTTCAGGTGTTTCTGGCTTTTCTGATTTCTGGCAGAGACTACGCAAGTTGGCTAGTCTCTCCCAAGAATCAGAAAAAACAGAAAAACCAAAAAAACATGAAAAACACAGCGTGTTCAGTCCCTCTACGCTAAGGGAGGAGGAATGTGAAAGGATACAGGAGTGATGCGAATGAGCGGAGGCCGAACCGTGTGAGGGTGTGCCGAGATTGACTTGGGGCCTTCGGTAGAGGCTCATCTGCGTGGTCACGGAACGTTTGAGGGGTGCGCCGAAGAAATTCCCCACGCTTCCCCTTCCATTCCAAACAACAGCATGGGTGAATGCAAGTGTTGCCTTTTGTGCAAAATCGTAACGTCACGACAGATCAAAAACAATATGCGTATCCGCGCACATCTCGCTCGGGCACCCCCGGCACGTTTGCCCAGCGTCTCGCAGCGCGGACAGCATTCCAGAGATAAGCTTCACGGGTCATATGTGGCAAGCAAAAGGGCTGCGCATCGGCGTGCGCATCAGCTGCAGCAGATGCTACTGCGCTCGGTTCAGTCAGAGGCCAAACCCTCGCCCACTTGCGGGAAGGACCTCTCGTCGCCTGAAGCGGCGGCCGCGCCCTCGGCCATCGCCGCGGCGATATCCTGCGAGGCGACGTCGGCGGCCGGCGGGCGCGCTGGGGACAACAGGTCGATGCTCGAGCCGTGGGCCTCCCTCCCGCGCTCGATGATACTCTCCTTCATCGCCTGCATGGCCCTCTCGCGCTCCTCCTCGTCCATGGTGGACACGTCGGGGCAAGCCAGGCGCTCGGCGCCGCGCTTAAGCGGCTGCGGCGAGGAGATGTCGCTCACGTGGCCGTGAAAGGCCACCGCGCGATCGCAGAGGCTTTGCTGAACGGCGCGGCAGACATTCAGCTGCTCATCGACATCGCGCGTATCTTCGCGAACGGGGCGCGAGGCGCTGGTCGGCTGACCAGCGGCCGCTCGCGGGAACCATTCGTTCCCCTGCCTGCCGCTCGGCGGCTGCGTGGCCACCTCTGGGAAGTTGCATATCGTGGGCGCGTCCTGGTCGAAGAGCGTGGGGCCACGGACCGTCGATGACTGCCCGAGCTCCTCGCCCCGCGCTAACTTCTTCATGGCGGCCACGGCCCACCTCATGTGTTGGTCGTAGTCGGATGGAACGCGAGTCTGGTCTTTCTTGAATGCCGTGAGGATGTCGCACGTCTCGGGCGTGAAGAGATCTGGCTTCGCGGGCGCTGGCCGCGGAAAGCGAGGGGCTGGCTCCTTCGTCATGGATGCCGCCCGAAAGTACACCCGGTTCGGCGAGGGGAGCACGACGTTGGACCTCGCCATGTACGCCTCCACGTCCGCCATCTTGTAGCTGCACTGCTTTTCGCAGATGAAACTGCAGCCGATGATCTGGATGAAATCACTGAATGCTACCTCTTCCTGCTCCCTGCTGGCGGACTCGGCCGTCGCCTCGAACTCCTCGTTATACGGATTGACGCAGATCTGGCGGGGCTGGTTCTGCTCGAAAGAGGCGCCGCCCCACCTGTGCAACGCGCGGAAAACTACAAAACACAACCAAAGCCCCTGATAAACTTATTAACGTAATTTGGATGCGTTCAAACAAATTTGTTTCCAAGAAATGTATTTCCCCGCGCGCCGCCGCCTCGCCCAAAGCAGCGCGTCTTCCTCGGCGGGGTCGAGGAAAGCCTTGATCTCGTCGGGGCCCCACTTGGCCAGCGCGGCATCGTCTGCGATGGCGGGCTTGATTATGGTCCCAGGCTCCAAGCGCAGGAAGCCGATCTTCTTCGCAGCGATGACGATCGGGCGGAGGTCAGCGCGGCAGTGCTTCTCAATCTGGTAAGCAGAAATAGCGAAGCCGATCGTTTTGGATGCTGTGGATTTGCCGACCCTGGTCTTCCCGATCCACATGGTCCCATGGACGTCGGAGCTCCTAAGGATGGGGGCGACGATGCGGTCGAACAGGAACGGGTCAATCCGCTTGAGAGTGACCGCCCAGCGCTCGAGTGCCCTCGCGCCGACAGTGCCCGACGCGTAGTTGCGGAGCGACTCCTTGACGTCTGATGCCATCCATCCGAAGATCGGAGAGTTCTCGTCGTGAATCATCTCGTCGGTCCACCCCACGAACTGGTGTTTATTGTTGCCCCTCGGGCCGTACTTCTCGATGTAACGGTAACCCGCCTGCCGCTTGCCCTTGTCATATACATCGGCCCCTGCGGCTGCGGCGGTGGCCGCGGACGGCTGGACTCAATGGCGGATCTGCACTCCGCCCAACCTGTCCATCATATAGTGAAAGAGCTTCAGCGGCGTCTTCTTGTCGGGCGAGTTTCCCCAGTGGGGGGCCAGCGCCGTGCCAGAGACAAAGACCTCCTTCGCGATGTCAGTCCGCGTGGTCTTCTCGAACTTGATGCATTCAAAGCGAGCTGCCGACCGTTGTCTTCCATCGGCAAGGTGTAGAGCTGCATTGTGAATGCGGCTGATTCTCACTGGTTCTAGGTCGCCCCGCAGCGCTGAGCCCCCTCAAGGAGAGCGCCGTCGCGCTTGGAGCCCTTCCAGGGTACGCCCAGCGGAACTGCGCTCCCTCAAGGAGAGCGCCGTCGCGCTTCGGGCCCTTTCCAGGAGCGCCCGGCGGCGCTGAGCTCCCTCAAGGGAGGCGTCGTCGTGCTTGGGCCCCCTCCAGGGGGCGCCCAGCGGCGCTGGCTCTGGTTCTGGCTCTGGTTATGGTTCTGGTTATGGTTATGGCTCTGGTTATGGTTCTGGCTCTGGTTCTGGTTCTGGTTCTGGATCTGGTTCTGGTTCTGGTTCTGGCTCTGGTTCTGGTTATGAGCTCCCTCAAGGTGGGCATCGTCGCGCTTGGTGCCCCATCCAGGTGGCGCCCAGCAGCGCTGGCCTCTCTCAAAGGGGAGCGTCGTCGCGCTTGGAGCCCTTCCGGGGGGCGCCCAGCGGCGCTGAGCTCCCTCAAGGGGGGCGCCGTCGCGCTCGGGGCCCCTCCAGGAGGCGCCCGGCGGCGCTGGGCTCCCTCAAGGGAAACGCAAGTGTTTATGATTGCTTCTGCGTTGCGGCGGGTTTGCCGCTGACTGTTGTTCAGGCAGCGACGGCATTGAGCTCAGTATCTCCAGACAGGGGAGGTATTGTTTAATATCCCGCTTATATTGACAGGGTGACCCTCTTCACCACAGATGACGATGAGAAGGGCGCCCCCATGCCGAGGAGCGCACGTAACCTGAGGCGGTGCGTAGTGACCTGTGCACTAGATGCGCATGGCAGCGAGTGCGGCGGCTCGGATCTCGCAATGGCATTGCGGCGTCGGGGGGCGACGGCGCAGAGAAAGGTCAGCTCTCAGTTTGTGATAGATGTAAAAGCTGAGGACTGCAATATGGTGGCATCGCTGACGGGGATATTCTGTCTCCGAATCGGGCTCCGCTCCGAGACCCAGACGAGTGAGAAGCGAGACAGGGAGAGACCCGCGAGGGGGAGCGAGGGGGTGCAGAAGACGAGGACACAAGAGGTAGTGGGGGAACTCATCTGGGTCGGAGCAGCCGAAGAGACAGGAGCATGCAGGTGCACTGGGAAGACGGGCGGAGGTCGTCCAGGCCCCCGCCAGGGTCTTGAGGTGGGCCCACGCCCAAGAAGGAGGGGTGTGTGAGAGGACAGCTCGGAGGGCCTCCCAGCGCTCGAGCAGCTCGGGGGCCGCTGGGAGGTCACCCCTTGGGAGCCAGACGGAGAGACGCCGATGGAGCAGAGAGGGGAGGGCGTCAGGGAAAAGAGACGAGGAGAGGAGGCGGGAAAGGATGCGCTGAGGGCGAGGGCGGCGGGCGTCCTGCGCCGCCGCCATGATCTCGGCGTCGGCTGCTGTCGTTGCAACGCGCCAGGCCACGGCATCCACGCCGGGTGGAGGGGCCGTCGCCGAGGTGGAAGTCTCGAGGAATTCAGCGATCGAGCTTCCTCGGACCCAACATTGTGGAGAGGAGCACGTTGTCGCTAGAGCATTGAGTGTTCCGTGCAGCTGTCCATGCGCGCGAAGGGTCTCCAGAGGCCCCGCCCGCCCCCGAGGCCCGTCACGAGGAAGAGTGAGAGAGGCCGTTCGCCAGGCAGACGCGGCAGCGAGCACGCGGGCGGATCGTGGGACTGCAGATGGGAGCCAGGAGCCAATACTTAGGAGCTCCCAGAGGCCGAACGAGTTGGGGGGGAGACGGAGGAGACGGTGAAGGACTTGACGCTCAGACCGAAGGAGGGACGGGGGATGTGGGAAGAGCTGGCAGACGTAGCTAAGGACAGGGGGGGTGCAGAAAATTATAGAGCCTGCTGCTGGCTTCAGCAGGAGAGCGGGAGAGAGCTGTCTCGATCGTGCGGGCGCGCCATTTCTGAGAGGGGGCGGCCCATTGCTGTTCTAATGACGCTCCAGGGCCAAACTCGATGCCAAGGAAGGTTGTGTGTCCACGCACGTGAAATTCTGACCATTGATGGGCGAGATCGGCTATCATGCTCTGGAATTTCGCCTCCACGGCTGGCGTGCAAGACTCCGCCGGGGGGGACGACACAACACTTTTCGGGCTGGAGGGGCAGGTTCGCAAGAGCGCGGGCGGCGTCGAAGGGGGGGGGGGCGAGAGCGGGGGGGAGCGAGATCGAGGGAAGGGCGAGTCCCACATCGTCCGCCGTCGCTCCACATTCAGGAAAGAGCCCTGGGCGCAAACTGAATGGGCGAGGGCACATATCACGAGCTGTAGGGCTGGTTATCTGGGCCTCAAGGTGGCGTAAGAAGGGGTCCACGCACAGAGCCCAGATGGTGCCTGAGAGGGGGCATCCTTGGGCGACCCCTGAGGGGGCCATGAAGAGCGGGAGCCTGGCGGAGCCGCATCGGGCGCGGGCGAGAGCCCCAGAGTAGATAGCAGAAATCACATTCAGAAAACCCGTCGGGATGCGATGTCGCTCGAGCACTCGGTGGAGAAACGCCTGGGAGAGGGAGGGGAAAGCGGCTCGAAGGTCGAAGGAGACGAAAGCAGGAGAGAGGTCAGGGCGGTGCCCCGCGGCTCGAGCGATCGCATCCTGGCGGGCAATGTGGCCAAGGAAGTTGCGGCCGCGAATGAAGCCTTGCTGCGCAGGGTGCGCGCGGTGGGCAGTCAGGTGACCTAGCTGGATGTTCGTCGCCGACGCCGCCGCCTTCGCGTCAGCGTTCTTCAGGCTCAGCGGGCGGATGCGGCCAGGCGACCTGGCCACGTCGAAGGAGTCGGACGCCTCCGAGCCCTTGGGAATGAAGGCCATGTCCGCGCAGTTGAAGCCCAGGGGAGCGCCTCCCCCCGCGAAGAGGCGCAGCATCAGGGAGTGGAGGACGTCAGAGAGCCGCTCGTCCGCCATCCAGGCTTTGGCCATCAGGCGGTCAGGGCCAGGCGCAGACGGAGTCGCACGCCGAAGGGCTGCACGGAGAGCATTGACGGATGGCACGTGCAGCAAGGGCGCCTCGAAGGAGGGAAGATACATGTCCAGGTAGCGGTCAATCGCGTCCATGTCAACAGGCTGGTCCGTGAAGTGGGGGTTCCAGTATGAGCGCAGGGCGTCGAACACGCAGACAGGGTCACGCTCGATGGACGCACTATGGCCGGTGCTCTCCAAGCGGACTCCAGCGAGGACCAGGCGTCGACGAAAGGGCGCCCAGAGCATGGCCCTACGCTGCGCCGCCCGCTGGAGCTTCAGCAGCTGCCACTTGTCGGGCCCCTCGGCGCCAGGCCTGAGGCGCGCCTCCTCGCGGAGCCGCGCGGCGGCCGCAGCGCGCTGGCGCTCGTGCCAGGCCGCGCGCAGCAAGCGGCAGTCCCGATCGAAGTCCTCAGCAGCGAGGAGGGAGCCCACTCAGCAGGGTTGACGGACAGGTGCTTCTCGCCCAGCGCCGTCGATCGCATCAGGCGACGCGCGAGGTGCGCATCTTGACGTCAGACGGCTCGCGCAATGGCACGCATGGAGAGCCGTCTGCCGCCCTCAGCATCCTCGCTGTAGTCGCCGATCGGGAGGGCCTGGATCTCGTTCCCGGTCAGGCGCGCCGCCTCGGTCATGATTTCCTTGAAAGGGCCCAGCGGGAGGCCACCTCCAGGGAGTCCAGGTCAGCGACGTCCAGCAGGGACTTCACGTGCTTCACGCATCAAGGGGAGCTGAAGATGTTTGGCGGGATGGGCTGCTCGGTGGGCTCGGATGGCGATCGAGCCCAAACCTTCAGCTGGGTGGTGGCGTGGTCACTGAGGCCCCAGCCCGCCAGCGTCGAAGCCTCCTGCCAGATCTCGAGCGAGATCGCCGCGTTCAGAATGGAGTGCGACTTCAAGGAGACGAAGGCGCGGTCAATGAAGGAGCAGGTCTGGTACTGCTTGGAGAAGTGCGTGGGCAGCTCGCATGTGACTTCTGCAAGCGCTTGCTGGAAGAGCGCTCTCCAGAAGCCTTGGCCCTGGTTGCCGCGATGCCAGACGGAGCGGATGTTGCCCGCCCGTCGAGCACGACCCCGCCCAGAGTCCGATGAGGACGAGGAAGAGGAACTGCAGCTGCCACCACGCCGCGTAGTGGCATTTGGAGTCAGGGTAGCGGCATCGCGGCTGGTTGTCCTGCAGTCGGCGACAGAGGGCCTCTCCAGGGACAGCGGCTCCAGGTCAGCGATGTTGAAGTCGCCGATGGCTATGAAGATACGGTGGCGTTCGTCATCTTGCGCCCATCGGGCCCCGTCCATCCAGCTGCGCTTGATGGAGGCAAAGGGGGCCAGCGGGACGTCATGGTTGTGGATGTTGAGGGTGCGGATGTGCTCGTTGGCGTGCGCGCTGGAGAGGGCGAGCTCAGCAACCCGCCCAGGCACCACCGTCCCCATCGTGGCCGAGGGGAGCAGGCGCTGGTCCAGGGAGCGCAGCTCGGCCTCAGAGAACCACGGAACCAAGAAGGCCAGGCCACCCGTGCCAGGGTTCGCGGCCGCAGAGAAGAAGGGGCGGTAGTGGTACGGCAGCTGGTCGATCAGGGTCCTGAGCTGGATCTCCGAGCCGTGAGTTTCCTGGGCGACGATGAGATTGCGGAGCTTCATCAGCTGGGCAAGGCGCGCCAGCTTGGCCTTGCGCTTGTGCGCGCGGTGGCACAGGAGGCCGCTGGCGCTCCAGGAAGCAATGCAGAGCCCCCTGCTGGCGAGCGAGTCAGAGCCTCGGGCGGGGGCAGGTGCCCAAGGCAGCCAGCGAGGGCTAGGAGCACGACCAGC